GGGATATATCCTCCCTTGTTGGCCCCAGCTTGTCGCCGACGCGGCATCTCGTTGAGTTTCAAGCTCTTAAATTGCAATGTGGAGAAGGTGTGTTCTTGAGACATGCTGACCATCGGAGCCGCTACAGTGCCGCTGACCTACCATTGAGGGCGAAAGCATCGCGAAGCGCTTCGGGCTACATACGGTCGGAGGCATGTATCGCTGAAGACTTCTTGGGCATTGTGTTTGGGTGCGGTAGCTCGTCAGAGGCCGAAAGAGAAAGAAGGTTGACTCAAGACCTTGTTGCTTAGAGAGTGAGAGACATACGGTAGGCAACACCATCGCCATGTAGCATGCCCATCAACACATTTCATCCGCGTACCCCTCCAGAGGCCCCGTAGACAGCATACTCTGCCGAGCACCCCAAACAGCTCCCCTGCTCGGTACGAGATACGATCTACGAAATCCCCGTCGCGACCACCATTGCCAGATAAAACGGCAGACAGAAAAATCGAAACCCCTATGCCAACAGTAAATCATCCACCATTCCAATTCAAACGACTCTGTCAATAGCACATGTCCCACGAAATCGCCGGATCTTCCAACAGAACACGTCCTGCAAAGCTTTCAAACCTTTTGATGTCAAATTTCTACCCCTGAAAGGTCTGTCAACAAACAAATCACCCTCTTGAGATAAATGCGCTACCGAATTCTCAAGCAGTCAACACACGAACAATCACCCTTGGAAAAATACCCAGCAAAAGATCAACACCACATCAGAATCACGTCAGAACGGAGGACGGGTAACTTCGGGAAAACGTGTCTTACGTCCTGACTACACAGAAATGTTTTTTTCCTCAGATAAAACCATGTTTCAACTAATTAACCAGTTCAAATAACGAGGACATGCCAAATCCTTTCCTCCGATATCCAATACCTTGACAAATGAACCAGTCCAGCAGCCCCTCTGCTGTGACATCCTTTCCATCCTGAACATGAAGCCAAACTCAAAATAAACAATCAATCCAGCAGCCCCCCTGATGCAGCATCCATCCCGAAAAACCAAAACCAAAACAAACAAACTTCGTGATGAATATTCGTTGATTTGGTTCATTGTGTTGCATTTTTTCAGCGGGGGGGGCTTTCTTGCATCATGTGTTTTATTTGTGACCTGGTACTGGCCTTTGATCTGCTGTTTAGATGCTATTTTCTGCTTTCGCGGTGGATGGGATAGTTCTGCGCGAGAATCATGGGGGGGGGAGTATTGCTAGTCGCAAGTGCGATGCGCGCAAAAAGTCTCCTTGGGCAGCGGTTTGGTTAAGAAACCCGCGCGTTGCAGGTCCGATCGTACATGGACTACCTTGAACTCGCCCCGCGCTACACGCTCACGGATGAAATGGTGGCGGATGTCGATGTGCTTCGAGTTGGGGGTAGTAGCCGGGTTACTTGCCAAGTGAATAGCGCCTACATTGTCCTCCCACACCGGAGTGCACCCCACATCACGGCCCGGAAAGATAAAATTCCACAGATACCGCAGAAAAATAGCCCCCTTCAGCCTCTCAGACATCGCCACGTACTCCGCTTCCGTCGAAGACAGGGTGACGCTCTTCCGCGTCCTACACAGATACATCGCACACGCACCAGCGAACATGCGCAAACCCACGGGCTACCAACCTAGCCCAAACTCGTCTCCCTTCCATGAATACACCCACTTCGGGCGGAGATGACACGTTCGTCCCTCGTTGCTATTCCGCCCCGACCTCCTCGAAGGTGCCCGAAAAACTCGTTGCGTTCGACGTTGGTGTGGCCCCGCGTGCGCCTCCCCGTATGTCTCAGGCGTCTCCAGGTCGCACGCCAGCCCCGTCGGCAGGCCTGGCTCAGCAACGCCCGGTGCAGGAATCTCGGCGATGGACCGCTTGATCTCGTCCCCCGTGGCTAGAAGGGCAAATATCCCCGGCCCCGGCCCATCTCGCTTCGCCCGCGACCTCGTCGCTGCGCCCGCCGGTACCGCCCTCATGCACCATCTCCGTGCACAGTCCGTCCGATGCCAGCGGCGGCGGCGCCGCCGAGTGCGCGGGGGCAGGTGTGGCAACAGGTGCCGCAGGTGTGCTCACCCGCGAAGGCCCCCCCGCCATCTGCGCAAGTTCCGCCAACACTTGCTGCGCGCTGCTCCGCTCTCCACCATGCTCTCCGGCTCCGTCATATGCTCATGCTGCCGCTGCTTTGTCGCCGCCAGAGTTTCCGCCGATGCTACCGCTCCTGCCGCCACCGCGGGGCCTCCGGCCATCCCACCCGCCGCCGCCGCGGGGGGAACACTGCCACCGAAGGTCGTCGTCGCCGCCGCTGGAGCTGCCGCCGATGCCGCTGCTCCTGCCGCCACTACGGGGCCTCCGGCCGAATCGAATTGAACGATCGACTTTACGCTCCTCCGTCTCAGCCTTGGCCTCCTTCGTCTCAGCCTTGGCAGTATCTATAGCTCGTAGCGCCTCATCCAACCTATGGTGCAGAGCTGCTTCCTCCTCCGTTCCAGACGCATCAAACCAAAACTCTAAACCCTCCCTGCTGTCCCAGCATCGAAATGGTGTCCCAGCTATAAACTCTGCTGTCCCGGTCCCCGCAATGGCCACCGCACCAGCTATGCACTGCTGTCCTCGCCCCCTTTGGCCGCGATCCCAGCTATGAAAATGGTGTCCGCTGCCCCGATGGCCCGGTTCCCACCGCTCAGGCGCGGCGACCACCGGCGGCAGTGTTCTCCCCGCCGCCGCAGCGGGAGAACAACACCGTCGGGTGCCGCCGCCGTCGCCGCTGGAACCGCCGTCGATGCCGACGCTCCAACCACCAACGCGGGCGCTCCGGCCGTTCTCCCCGCCACCGTCGCGGAGATAACAGTGCCGCCAGGCACCGCCGCCGTCGCCGCTGGGACCGCCGCCGATGCCGCTGCTCCAGCTCCCGCCGCGAGCCCTCCGGGCGCTTCCCCCGCCGTCGCTGCGAGGGAAACACTACCGCCGCCGTAGGTCGCCGCCGTCGCCTCTGGAGCTGCTGCCGATGCCGCCGCTCCTGCCACCACTGCAGGGACCCCGGCCATTCCCCCCGCCGCCGTCGCGGCGAGAACACAACCGCCAGAGGTCGCCGCCTGTTTGGGGTGGTCGGCAGAGAGTATGTTGTCTACGGGGCCTCTGGGGGTTACGCAGATGAAATATTGTTGTGTTTGGGTGCGGTATCTCGTCAGAGGCCGAAAGAGAAAGAAGGTTGACTCAAGACCTTGTTGCTTAGAGAGTGAGAGACATGCGGTAGGCAACACCATCACCGTGCAGCATGCCGATCAACACATTTCATCCGCGTACCCCCCCAGAGGCCCCGTAGACAGTATACTCTGCCGACCACCCCAAACAGGCATAGTAACCACCGCTTGGCCCGAGTTACCTCTACCGTAGAGAACCACCGTCCGTGTCCTTCGTAAAGGGTGGAATTGCAATTGTTGTGGAGCATGCTAAGTGGAAGGGTGCCGAGACTGGTTCCATGCGTGGAGGAAGTACTGTAGGCAAGAAATATACTGTTCCCGGCAAAGTCGTGGTTGTGCGTTCTTCGCTATTTTGAAACAATAGCAGGTGTTTGCCCACCCAATGCCGGTGATGATATTATTAGTAACTCCCCACCAATACGACATGACGTAGACTAAAAGTCTATCGGTCGCGGGGATGTGAGGATGGGTGTGGGTGGAAGGCACACAACACAGCAATGTGGTATGCGTGGGCACAGCTCTCTACATACGCAAAAAGAGAAAGAAGAGTGAATGTATACAATATTTGGAGAGATGCACGTTCGGAGTCGGAACAAATTCCTCGTTCAAGCAGCGTCGTGGATCTGTAGGGTGAGGGAACACAAGCTGCAGGTGCCAGCGGGCGGTTGCATCTAGCTTCACGGTGCTGCGTAGTAACTCGGCTCCCGCTTGAGGTCTCGCGCCGGAGAGAGCGGAAGTCTCTCGGCGGAGAGAGCTGTCCCCGTCACCGCCGCGAAGAGAGACAAGAGAGAGTCGATGGGGGTCCGCGTGCGGGCAAAGGCCGAAATCGTCTGGAGTTGAGACTTGCCCGAAACACCCCACTGCTCTGTGAGGCCCCCCAAAACTAGAATTCAGATGGAAGCTTACCTCTCTATTTGGGAGCGATAGCATCAGCGGACGGATTGTGGGCTTGCTCCAGCAACTGCCGCGAATGAATGCCGCACCTCCGCGCGACACTCACGGTTATTAGGCCCTTAGCGATCTCCGTATTGCTGCTTTGACGTCTTTTTGGGCACTTCGGGCTGGCATCAGGAGTTTTGTAACTCGAGCCGTGACGAGCTGGGCGACGTTGTGACGTACTCTTAAGGCCTGCAGGCGGTTTCGCTAGGACAATACAGCCAGCAGTCGCACGGAATGCCTCTCCGAGAACAGTACGCGTGGCACGAACGCGTGTCGGATTCCAACAATGCTAGATGGGTATGTAGTAGTACCTCGTCTTCGCGCACATCCAGCCATCCAGTCACACTCGGTCACAGCCGGGGGGTCGGTCATCCACAGGACTCGCTATCCCTAAGCCGCCCCCCCGCGTGCGCTGCCTTCGTTGTGCGATGCATGCTGCTTGTTTTGTTGCAATAAAAGAAAGTCAGCCGAACCTCTTCCCGTTCTCCTTCTCGGGAGTCTGGTGTGGATCAGATTTTCATCCTTGCGAGTGATGACGCTGTATGTATTCTGCGTGGCGAGTGACTACAAGACCTTAATCTGACAAATCTACTGTGATCTTGTACGCCAAGGGGCGCGTTCTGTGACTACATGGATTGATTTGTTTTCATTGCAATAGGGTGCTGCTGTGGAGGGGGCGGGAGGAACTGAACAGAGCGCAAAACGGCTATGTGGTGTACATACGATGACGACAACAACACTGACAACACCCCTTGCTCCTTGGTTCACCTCGCCGTTCCGCCGTGATCGCTGCTCAGCACTACACCCGTCTACGAACGTACCCCTGCCCGCCTTCTTGATCATGAGCGGTCTCTTGCTGTACTTGGAGATGGCGTCGTACGGCAAATGGCTGTTCAATCAGACTCGCAGCCTCAGCCGGGCGAACCCATCGTATCAACTCGCTGTCGTGGGCAACTTTTTGGTCGCGTCCCTGGGCACGCAGGTGATTTTTTGTATTATTTTTTTGTTTCTTCTCTTTTTTTTTTTCTTTTCGTCATCGTCTCGTTTGTTACCACAGCTCTTGCGTGCCAGTAGTTTAGTTGCCGACCCCGCGGTGTCGCCCGGTACTGCTATGAGTCGGCCGTCTTGTCCGCGTTTCCTGTCCTTAGATGCGTGAACATGTGCAACACGGTATCTTTCACAGCCATAGTAGTGTTGTCAACCCGAGCCAGCCAGCCAGAGTGTTGAAGGTCTGTACTTTGCGCACAGCTAGCTGTCGATTGAGCGTCCCAGATGCGTCAAGTGGTGCATGTTCACCTTGTTTTATTTAGTCAAGCGGGATATTTTTCAGAGTCGAGACGCATGTTTCTTTTGCATACTCCGTATTTGATTTGCACTGCAATTTTTCTGCGCCATTCCCTTTTGGAGACGGGGTATTTTCGGCGTTGTGCCGCAAGTTCTTCCTCACCGTTCTCATGACTCGTGTTTTTGCCTTCGGACGAACCGTGCGCAGGTTTCCGGCACAGAGAGCGTCGAGCTAGCCTGCAGGGAAATTTCCCTTTTTTTTTTCGCCGTTGGGAGCCTCTACCTGCTCCTAGTGTTCTTCGCCATCCAGGTACAGTCGTGGTCCCGGTATTGCGGTCTTCATCTCAAGATGTTGTAACCGCTATTGAGGGCATCGCCGCTAAGCCGGATTGGGAATTATACTTACCGAGGTGCAGCCGTGCCACGAGATATATTTGGGACCGTTATTCAGGGCATCCCGCCAAACAGGGAAGGGACCGCTGAACCGGGACCACGACTGTAGGTCTTTCAGGGCGTGGCGGTGCTGCCGGGATTCGGATTGATGCTCTTCCACGTATCAGTTGTTCTTCAGTTTTTTTTGTTTCTTTTTGTTGTGAACCATTGAATGTTCAAGGTTGGTAGCTAAGACGTCCATGGTTCGATTCAAGGGCACTTGAACCCTTGCCAACACTAAACCCAATGTATTCCCTGTTGGTTTCCCAACTATTCAAATTCCGAGCGTGGTTTCGCCAGGTAAGCGTCTATGATTTGGTGGCGCATTCTGTATGGGGTGCCAACGTGGCCGTCGCCGCCAGCGGTGTGTCAATCACTAATCAGAGGTGCGCTCGGTTAAATAACCATTTATTTATAGATGTACGCTCAGATATTGTCGGACACCATGATGCGTTTACCCACCCGGCAATCTTTCCCTTTATGTTTGCTCCGACGGACTGATGAACTACCCGGTTGTTACCCCAACCCAATCGAAACAAAAACATGAGAGCGCGACCAAACTTCGGGAAACACACCCTTCAACCAAAAGCGACACTCCCTCTGCTGAGGAGATGCAATGTCGACTTGTTCCTGCAGAAGATGCGGGCACATGTGCCGTCGAAGCGGAATGCAACAATTTTCAGCCCTTAAGCTAGGCAGCCTACCAACTTCAATCCCGGGGCAAAGTTGAATATGCAGCGATCAGGCACTACGCGTGAGGGCATGCAGTCAAGGACGGTGTCATCCCCCCGTGGCGACACGTCAATGCGCAACCTCGAGCCTCCCACCTCTTTTCGCTGGGGGCGTGCGAAGTGCAAACATCCCCGCACTTAAAAAACCACCAAATCGCGAAAAGCGGCAGCGACAGACCGAGCTTCTCGTTGTCGCTGTCGCCTTCACCAACGTTAGCAGAACTTTAACGTATTCCCTGTCGTTGGCGCACCCGCCCCCACATTTGTTTGACGAAAACACGCGGAACCCTGTAGACCGTAGTTGCTCTGATTGGCGTTCATTCCAACCCTAGAAGCCCTCTGTAGTATCAATCGATCGCCGCCGAATACCCAACTCACTGTGACCAAACCCCGGCACCCCTTGCTTTCCCGGCTCTTGTGAACGCCTCCCCCCTCCGACACGAAACGTTCGAAGCACAACTCGGCGGACAACGTGGAGCACCCTTCCAGCGCTGCTGCTCGGCCCTCGGTGGATCCGACCCCAGGCATCTCCACGGACCGTCGTGTTGACGGTAAGCACAAACAAAACGGGACGGGAGATCGAGAGGTAGGAGGCTCCCGCGCGACACCGACCGCTTGCGCTACCGCCGTCAGTGCGTGCTATGCGATTTCACGCGTGAAGCAGCTGGTGAACAGCGATTCTCGCTGCGCGGCTTCGAGAGAGAAACAACGCCAGCGCTGCTTGCGGCCTTCGACGTGTTGCACTGACAAGGCCCTAGACGTGAGATTGGCAATAGTTGCGTCGTGTGCTCGTTTGTATGCCTTCCGAAGAAAGTGTCTATTTGCACCGTGTATTGGTCCAACACAGAACCAGCGAACGGGGGGAGTGGCCTCGTACGCACGCGCCCCTACCGCACTTTGATGTTGTCTGTCGCTTCGACTTACTCTCCAGGACGAGTTGGCGGAAAAGAAGAAGCCAGAACGGGTGATCCCACGGGGAGGGCAAACACCGGGCGGGTACACAGCCAGCAGGAACAAGTTCCACACCCTTCTCCACCACATCCGCCGGTTTCGGCGGCGGTTGTCTCCGGGTGGGGGCACAAGCCATCCAAGCTCGTCTCGCGTGGGAAAAAGAACGGAGAAGAGGAATCGGGGGACAGGAACGGCGTTGGCCCTCCGGAGGGAAGCTCCCGGTACTCTGGCCGGCTGCACGACAACACGTTCAGCGCGACGGCTCCCTCGCTCTCTGGCGCCGAAGATGCGCCCATGGCCGAGAGTGAGGACGCGCCGGCTGTAGCAGAAAAGGGCAGGGCCCACCTCGAGGTCGAAAACGAAGACATCGAGAACAACCTCGGCGCTCGTTCATCGGACATTTCGTCCGCCACGTCGTCGCACGCGGTGAGTGCTTTTGAACGGCGGCAGTGTCGATTCGAGACGTGCGAAAACAGTACGCACAGGCGAAAAACACCGGCTGTGTTGATGTGAAAGCGCAACCAACCCCTGTTGGGGGGTTTTCCTTATTTCTAGCTGAACAGGCGCTCCCCCAAAAGGGGTGCGCAGCAACCAAGGTCTCGGAGAACCTGGGAGGTGCAAGTTTCAGCAAAGGCGTTTCAGCTGACGCCAGTGGATGTTGACTGCTGTGCGGTCCTCGAGCGCGGGCACACTATCGGCATGCCAGGAGTTTGTTGGAACCTTTGAATCGGTTTCAGTTTTTTTTTCCACCTGCTGCAACGATTTGTGGTTCATTGGAAGTTGTTCATATTGTCCATACTCTTGGATAAGTGTGGGATCTCAGACAGACGCTTTTCCCCACTGGGTTTGCACTTGGTTGGCACTCGCAGCCAAAACACCGAAGTGTCATGGATCGGGGATAAGCGAGCGACTCTCGCCCTCAGCTGTCATCACTGAAACGAGTCAAGTTTCTGCCTTGCGTGCCATTCTCAAGCCCTGTTTGCTGTTGGTGTATGTGCAGCAGTGCCTTTGATTTTCCAGCGTCTTTGGCGAGGTTCCGGGTATGATGGGAGTGGTGTTGCATGTCTCGCTTGCAACTTGAGACGATTCTCGTGTACGACCAAACATGGTCGGTTTGCCAAAATTGCAGATTCTTCTCTTTGCGTCATAAATACTCCTCGCCTTGTTCGTGTAGGGTTATGAGTTGTTCTTGGCGCACCTATTCTTTTTTTGGCCTCCTTGGCTTTCGTTAGCTTTGTCACCGTGGAAAATCGTTTCTTGGCCTTCAGGCTCACAGGAGAAGAGGTGCTGCGCAAGCGTCAGGACGAGGTACTACGGCGTGAAGATACGGACGGCGACAGCAACAACGAACCTAAAATAGTCTTTCTTATACGCATGTTGCTCCAGTGCTGTGTGGTGCCGTAGTTCAGGGATTACATTGTTCGCCCCCCAAAACTCTCACCCTTCTCCCCTCTTGCCACTCAAATATCCAGCAAGGTCTGGGTCGCGGCGGTGGCGACGGCGTGAGGTCCGCACGCGACCGGAGGGTTCCCAAGCCGGCGCAAGAGAAACCTTCCACCCGACCGCACACGCTGTGGGGAGAGTCCGCCGGAGCGGCTGCCGTCTTCCCTCGTCACGGGCGTGGTCGCAGCAGCTCGAGCAACGTCCGCGTTGGCACACCAGATCGGCACCCAAAACGGGCAGAGGCGAAGGACGCCGCCGTCTTTCGTCGCACACCCAGGTCCACGTTGGCTCCGCGCGGTGCCCCCAGGGGAACCCCTAGGAGCATGCTCCTAAGCAGAGCGTTACACCCCATCTATTTCTTGTTCATCGCTCCCCCTTCGGCGGCGGCGATCGCCTGGACGCGCATCACCGGAGAGTTCGACGATCTGTCCAGGTCCCTGTACTTCATCGCCGGGTTCTTGTACATGTTCTTTGTGCTGGGCAACTCGAGCTTCCTGCGGACGGCCTCGTTCAGCGTCGCCTGGTGGGCATACTCCTTCCCATGTGAGAGAGCCCTAGTGGCGGCTGGCACCCCTCCCTAGCGACGAAACGTTAAAACTCGATGTATTCCGTTTCAACACGTTTCGTGGCAGGAAGCACACGTCGCAAATCCGACAAGCGCTTGTTCAGCACATATTGCGACAGGGTAGGCTCCCAAAAGACGACGACAACAAAATGCGCTTCGGTTGTCGGGAAGGTTGGCATGCGCGCAACAGGTTCTATGCTGTTCCAAAAGTAAAGGCCAAGGCGTCTGCCGCCAGCATTGTCGGAATGTGCTGTCAACGTTCCTCCAGTCGTTCGAAGATAGACTAGGGAAGACATTTTTGAGCCCCCTTTGGAAAAGTAGGAAGGAACGATTGGCCTTCGGTGGTCCGTCCTGTGGGAACAATGCTCCGTCCTAACGAGGACGCCTGGTCAGTGGTCTAACCGCTAAGGCACACAAAACACAAGAGTACGCCCCCCCCCCCTCCCCCCCCTCTCTTCATGAACAAGTTCCCTTGCTCTCCCTCGAGGCCTCCTGCTGTGAACACAGCGAGCCCTCAAGTTTGCGTGAAGTCAAAAGAAAGCCGCGTGCCGCCCCGTGTGCTACATGGGGTTCGCATTTCCGCATCTAGCTTCGTCGCGCAGCGCGTTGTGCAGCCCAACTCATGGACGGCGGCAGAGGACCGCGCGGCGCGCGACCAAGCCGGGGTTCCATCCTTGCCGAGTTAAATTAGCACTACACGATGCAGTTGGCAAGAAAGCGTCGAGAGCGTGGAGGTCTTGGACCGTCGTAGCCGATACTCGCCCTGGATGGTCGGAGCAGCCCAGGGGGAGTAGCCTTGGCTTTATCGCATTCTTAACATACAAGTGCTCGTGGGTTGTATATTTATATTCTTGTTTGTTGCTCCTGAGCGTCGCTCACTTGTTCTTGTGCGCATGATGTTCATGTTGTATAGAAAAGTAAGGCCAGTGCTCTTGATTGAGTGTGCCCGCGTCACACCACACCTGAAACCAAAAGGTGATGGACGTGTACTCCATTTTGTTTTCCCTTGCCGTCGCTTTTCTCGTTGATCCTTACACCTCCCACCCCCCGACGCACCTTCCGCACGTGCCACTGCCCTTGACTCATGGTGGCGGAAGCCTCCACATTTGCCGTCGCGACGATCTTGTACGCCGAGGAGCTTTCGAGCGAGGGAGTGGTTATTTTCGCCCTCGTGATGTCTCTAGGATCCACCGTGTTGGTGGTGGTGGTGTTCGTGCGCACTCTTTGTGCAGCAGCAGCAGGATCTCTCTTCGCTCCCGACCCGGTTCTCTCGGTCCTGCTGGAAGAGCCGCCTTAGTTGTTGTTCACCAAGGAACGGACATTCACCTGGCTTAGGAATGCACGCGGCATCACTTAAATGTTGTCTGGGGGGCCGAGAATGGAAGCGCTTGCGTTAAGTGGTAATCCTTTTAGACTTTGGTGTCTGATAGAATTTCCTGTTCGTAGTTCTGCTCAGCTTCCCGAGGAGTCTGAGCGTCAGCCTCTATTTTGCTTCGGGGTTGTGTTCCTTTGTTTTGTTGTTGTCTTCGCGGGTTTCTTGGTTTTAGCGTTTTTTGTGATAGTTGTGGCAATCTGGCCGTCCGTGAGTAGACAAGAGGGCGTCGGCGGTCGAGATTTTTGGGTTTCGATGACGGCGCAGACCAGCATATCGGCATGGCTGGGGAGGCCCAGTGCTTGCAAGGCAACCAACGAGCTAGTCGCTCACGGACGTAGAAGTACATTACAGTCAACGAAAAGCCTCCCGTAAACCTGTGCCAAAGGGGCACTTAGAGTTAAAGTAGGGCGGGCAAGCCTTTGTGCTTGTTTTTTCGTGCTTGAATAATCGCGGTTTGTGTTATGGAGAGATGTGCTCGTAGGATGATACCATTATGTTGAGTACGAAACAGAACAAAACGTTTAACAGACGTTTCGCCCAGTTGCCCACCTCTGATATACTCGCAGTACCAGGCTTCAGGCCGATTTGGTGTGCACCGTTGTGTAGTAAATATGGATGAAGGTAGAGTATAGTTGAATTTTTGATATGAGTATGCCACACGGAGATCTAACCCTTGCAAATACCTTGCTTCAATCCTGCCAAGGGTTAGGTTTTTGCTCCCGAAATAAAACAGTATGAAATGCAGTCAGACACACAAGATGACCACCAAATCGTCTTGTTGAGCCTGTTACCCATACAGGGGGGATGTCGCTGTGTGCTACTCGGGACCCCAGGTCGCCTCTGCTGATGCTATTAGTTCATTGCTATTTTTATCGCTCTGCATGTAGGATGGAAATGATTTGTGTCGTCATATTGAGAAAATGTACTATAGAGTATATACTGCTGTGGTTGTCATGAGATTTGAATTTTAGCAAGTATTAACGGTCTTGCGGAGTAATTCCCTGCGGAAACGTGCGAGAGATATAACGCCCGACGAAGGATAAAACAGGGGACAGGACCTTTATGGCCCCTTTTTAGAGGGCACATGTCCTCCCTCTCTGTGCTCAGTCTACCTTTGAGAGCAAGGCAACAGCAAGTGCTGCTGTTCCAAGAGATTACCCTAAACAACGAGTTACCCTAAACAACAAGTAAGTGAGTCTTCATCAGGGTCTTCAGAGATAACTACGATATTTTGGAGGTCCCAATCATCCTCTCGATCCTTTAATTTTGGGATTCGACAGTCAGTTGTCAAATTCGAGATTTCAAGAATTATCTGCGTACGTATGAGAACCTCCAGGATGGGCCAGCAGTGATATGGGGTTTGAATGGTATGAGTGGTTTTGCGGAGTATTTCCCCTAGGACAAGTGCGGGAGATGTAACTCCCGACGGAAGGATAAAGCAGAGGACAGGACCTTTGTGGCCCCTTTTAGAGGGAACATGCCCTCCCTCTTTGTGCTCAGTCTACCTTTGAGAGCAAGGCAACAGCAAGCACCGCTTCCGCTGTTCCAAGAGATAAAAATACCGTAAACGACGGAGTTTCCCCCCCGTAGTAAAGTTCCCCCCCCCCCTTGACCTTTTCGGCCTGGAAGCATGGTTTCTTTGATTTAGCCCCGGGGAAGATCGTTTTCAACAATAAAAAAAATCTCACTGGGTATTTCAATTTCCGCCCGGGGTACCAGTTTTCCCACGTGTTCTCCCCGGGGGGGATGTATATAAAAATCATTATATGGGACGGAAAATTCATTTGCAGATCTGCGCTTCGAGCGAGTTTTAGGTGCACCGTTTGTCACTTGGCCCTCCGTTGTTTTATGGGTGAAATTCTTTCGCTTTTTGGTCATATTCGTGCATTTTTCATCCCTGGAGTCCAGCTGAAACGTACCATAGCATGCCGACAAAACCTTGTGCACAAAGGGAAAAAAATAATCGTTTTCATTTTTCCACAACCCCCTGGGGGGGGGCTTCCCCCCGGGGTAGCGTGAAAAAAAAAACTACCCCCCCGCGGTACGTCAATTTCTCCGTGGGGGGTTGGTTTCAGAAAAAAAAACGATCCCCTCCCCGGGGGAGAAAACTCCGTCGTTAATGGTACTACAAGTGAGTCTTCATCACAGGACCTTATGGGCAGTCTCTACAACTACTGACAGTTTTGTTAAACAGCCCATGGGACACCCATGAAATTGCCCATGGGACACCCCATGGGACACCCCATGGGACACCCCATGGGACACCCACGGGCCGCCCATGGGCCGCCCATGGGCGCTTCAACCTAGAACTTAGCCACCGGCATATCAACCTAGAACTTAGCCACCAGCGCCAACCTAGCACGTAACGTGTGGGCTTAGGGCTAGGGTTACGGTTAGCATTAGGGTTATTGGCCGCTATATCGCCCGTTCCGAAGCAGTTACTCTATTGTTCAGGAGCATGCATACACTGGCTCGGTTGAAGGGCTCTCATTGGCCGCCCACGGGTGACCCATGGGAGTCCCATGGATCATTTGGGTAAACTGTAGGGAGACCCGGTGGGGGGGGGGGTGGGGGGGATAAGGTGTGCGGGACTTTTCTGTGCGCCCTTGCACGCGTGAAAAATAAGTTGAAACCGTCGTTTTGCGGGGAACATACTACTTCCTTGGTCGGGAGGTTGCAGCGGTGTGGCCCGAACCTCTCGTTGGCAGGCAAAATTAGTAGGCACACAGCTATCCCAGCCTCGAAGGACTTGTCAACCCAGCTGTAGATTGGTGGCTTCAAATTGGTGGAGGACAGACAACGTTTAGGCACAAATCGATCGAGATCGGAGCAGTTTGGTGTCGGCAGCACCTGCTGCATGCACTTGAGAGTGTCGGTCACCGACACGGCCAACCGTCAACGCATAAGGCACAACCTGAAACTTACGGGGGGTTCTAAAGTAGTGCAGGATGGCCGATGGGGTGATTTCTCGCGTCTCGGGCGTTCGGTTCAAAAACGTGCGTGGTTCAAGCCTTCGGACTGAAAGTGATCATTCATCCATTCCTCTAAGTTTTCCACATTTTTTTTTTCCCTTCTGTGAGACCTCTAGAGACCTTAGAGGAGTATCTGTTTGGGGTGCTCGGTGGAGCATACTGTCCACGGGACCTCTGGGGGATACGCGTATGACAAGTGTTGATGGACATGTTACATGACGATGGTGGTGCCTGCCGCATGTCTCTCACTCTCTCAACAGCGGTTTCGGCCACTGACGAGCTACCGCTCCCAAACAATATCAAAATATAGGTGTTGATTGGTTGAGTAGCGGCGTTCGAACGCTCGCTCACATCATAAAATCCGTCATTCTCGTTCATGCGATTCACGTAGGGTAGGATCACGTCAGATCCGTTACACGTAGTCTTCCAATCTATGTATATACTTCTCTATCTTGGCCGCTACCTAGAGCTTCATCTACGTTACACTTCTTTTGCTAATGTCATGCCGTTTCCCGTGCTGCCTTGGGCGTGCGCCCGGACAAAGTTTACCGACTATATGTACACAGACACAAGAGTGCGGCACACGAATGTCAGGCGGGTGCGATGTGCTCTGCACAAAATTGCCAAGGATGTGCCATCAACCAAAGCCCCGCAGGTTCTCCCCCCCGTTCACTGCAAAGACTCCCAACAAATCCCCTTCGACAATCCACCGAAAATATTTCAAACGGGTACAAATACTTTCACACTGCTGAATTCTGCTGCGTCCGCCCGCTGTCGAAACGCGTAACGGTTGTCTTGCCACGCTACACTCCTTCTCCTGACGATATAAACTGTCCTTCCTTCTAGACACTTCCTTCTAGACACCTACAAATGCACAGCACTTCACCGCCGTTTGGTACCACGCAGTAGGGCATATTGACCCAGATACGATCAAGCACAGTATGTTACAGCAGCGTCCACCAAGGGTACGGGCACCGTGACAGCATCACCTTCCTCGAACCTTGGGGTCTGTCCACCCTGTCAACGTCCTCTTCTGGCAGCGAGGTTGTTATTCAAAGCTAACGGCAGTCAGTCGGGGAAGTATTGAAAAAAAGCAGGTTGTTTCTCAAGTCTCAAGTCCAACGAAAGTCAAGCAGTTGGGAAGCGTAACGTCCGCGCCATATCGCAAACTGAAATCGCGTGATCTCCTCTAGCAGGTTCTTGTAACTCAAAGCCAACTAAAGTCACGACAGTCATGGCAGTCGAAACGTTCCACCCTGCCAACATCATCTCCTTTAATGTTGCAGTCAGGTTGTTGTTAATCAAAGCCAACGAAGGTCACCGAGTCGGGAAGCGTAAAGTCCGCCCCCTCGTTAACGGTCAGCGCGTCTCCTGGGCTTTCGTCCCACGTCCAGAATGCCGAGTCCTCCGAGAGGATGGTCTCGCTGTTGTCCATGGCCACGATCACCGGCAACTCCGCATCAAAGAAGAAAGCCGGCCCGGAGAACTTAAAGAACCCGAGGTTAACCAGAGCGCTTCCCTCGGAGTCACGGTTGTTCAAGTCCCTGAAGAAGGCCCCGGCGCCGTTCCTGAAGTTGAAGGTCGCGCCTTCGCCGTTGTAGATGGCGACCCCGGCGCTCGCCGAGATCTCCTCGAAGCGGGAGTCCCCCTTGATGTTGACCTTGCCGAGGTTGTAGATGCCGCCCCCCTTGCCGCCGAAGTCGTCGGTGATACTCGTCTCGGTGATGGTCACCCCCTCGTTGAACAGGACCGAGCCCGTCTCTCCGACGTACACGGCTCCTCCCGGCCCGGGGGGGCTCTCCCCGGCCCCGATGATGTCGCAGCCGGTGAACGTCGCCTCCCCGTCGACCCGGAAGTAACCCGCGGTCCACACGCAGCCGCCGCTGCGGACGAAGGAGGCGAAGTCGGAGTCCTCGTCGCGTTCGTTGATGATGACGACGTCCCGCATCTGGACGTCGTTGAGGAAGCGCACGGTGGAGCCCTCGCCGACGTACACGGCCCCTCCGTCGACCATGAGCTCCGCCTCCTCGTCCCCCTCGAAGATCACGTTGGTCTCCCAGAACAGCTACGCTCCGTTCGTCACGTCCAGCCTGACGTTCACGAGGCTGCTGCTGCCGAAGAAGTTGTCGACGTTTTCGCTCGAGCTCACCGTCAGGGTGTTCGACGTCATGGTCATGTTCGTGAAGGTGTCGCACTCGATGTCGGCGAACGGGTGCATCTCGACGACTACGTCCTCGGTCTGGGTCTGCTCGAACGCCGCCAGGAGGTCGTCGCACGTCTCGATCAAGCCATGGCAGGTACCCGGCATCAGGAGAAGCGCGAGCGATGAGAGCCCTTTGGTGTACATTTTGTTCCTGGAGAGGCGATAGAACGTTGGGTGGGTGGATGGGGTGCTCTTGATACATGCACAATAATGCCCTGCGGGTTGACAGCGAGTGCACTACTACAGTCGGGAGTTACAAACATGCACAACAATACCCTGCGGGGTGACATCAGATTCATACCACTAGTCGCGGTCTTGACACAGGAACACACATGCACGACAATGCCCTGGATGACAACAGTTCAGGGATCTCACTTCTCTCGTGGCTGTGATTATGACGAGAGACGTAAGGCATGCAGCAGTAGACCATGTTTTCGTCCATAATTCTCCATTTCATTTTTGGAGGTGTGCTGGCCCTATCGTGTGTGTAGTCTAGTCAGCCGCCGTCGTTGACCGTGCAGACGAACGTTTTGTACTCAAGAAAAAACACCACCCAAGTTTGAAACACCCCCTTTTGTATACGCACGAAACAAGCACAAACGAATCAATGAAAACCCCGTGCGGTCTCCCTCCTTATGCCGCCCTGGTGTGTCCGCATGCCGTTGCTTTAGTTGAGCGTGTGTGGGATGACAATATTCACAACGGCCAAAAACAGCCCACCGAGCGGAATTTCAGAAACCCTTCAAAAATTGGAAACCCTACAAGTTCCTTCTCGAGCGAACTATGTTCGAATGTCGGAGGCGACGTCGGGCAGTAACTTCATCGCGTGTTACTCCCTTACGTATCACTGCACGCGTTGCCGACAAAATAAGGTCTTGACCTTCGAAAACCTTTAGCACAATGGGGCCGCGTTTGGAAAACAAGTGGCCGACGGGTTGTTGAGGCGGGCGCGGAACCGGGGGGTTGGGTGCAAACCGATGCAGAAAAAGCCACTACAAGTCAAACGTGTTTCGACGGTCGGCGTCGCGCGGGCACGCAGCGGTGACGGGAGGCCCACGACCCCAACTTAGTCGATTCTAGTCGATGGTGCGGTGGTTGGTTGCACCGCCTCGAGGAGGTCGGGCGCGGTAGACCACTGCCTAGGTCTTTTTCCGTACAACATGTGTACTTTCTTTCTTTGCTTGGGCAGTCCTTCGGGCGAGACACTGATGGTATGCTGGAAGTAATGACGACAACCGCGATAAATTCCCGGCACATTCGTTCGTGTTCGCGTTGTGTATGCGGGAAAGCGCCTTCTCGCATGGCAGGTACCCAGTGGTGGGATATCGCTTTAGGCTGTTCGGGGAATCGTAGAAACACAGGCAGTTTCCACTGACGCCACATTGCTAGTCTATCCCAGACTGTTTTTTGTGGAGGTGATGGATTGGTTTGTCATACTGTACAGTGGTCTCAAGTATGGAGAAACCAAAAAACACTGGAGGAGATAAGAATTCCCAAGAAAAACGTGCTACGTACGTACGGCAGCAGTAGCAAGGAAGAGCATGAAAGCAGCATCAACGTGCGAAGGGGTTCGAAACCAATACGAGTGCAAAGTAGCAGTCTTGGTAAAGCGTAGAGTATTCTTCTGATGGTACCGCCGTTTCTGACTTCAGTCGGCCTAGGGGGCAGCTTTGCCTACCCCCTCACGGGGCCCCAGGTTCATGGCCTCGGCTTTAAAAGCATTTAATGTTTTCAGCCGCACACGGAGGCTGACGTCTTTTCATTGGTCACCCCGAAGCGCGATCGATGCAAAAATAAATTACAGCCATTGAGGATAGCGGGGGATGGGTTGGTTGGAGAAGGTGGGTGTGTAGAGGAATATTAGTGTCTGAAGGGAAAGGGAGGGATGGGGAAGGAGTGGGTTCGCAAATAATCTACTTGGGGCTTCTGTTGCATCGATGGATGTCAAAAACCATTTTGAAACAATAGTCCGTGGCACGATTGATTGGCCACTACATGCTCGGAAGGGCATCTCAGGATACCCATGGTTGACCTGTCGTGAGCTGTACGCAGACTTTGTAGCAGAGATGGCGTGCGGCGCGCTCGGGAGGTACTTGTATGCATTTGGAAAATATGTACAGCAGTACTTCTAAAAGGGTCGGCCGGAATTGCGAGGAAGACAGATGATGTATGTGTGTGTGTGATAGATGGTATGCACGCATACATATGCATGCAACAAGATGCGGATATTTTTCGTGCAAATATGCATAATAAGAAGCAATTCAATGATAATTGGTTGAGTGTAACTTCGTAGTCGCAACTAACTATTGTGTGCTTTTGTGGGCGAAACCACACGAAATCAACCATCTCGCGTGTGCGGTAGATACTAATTATTAGTAGAACTGTGCTTGTGCGACATATTTACGAAAGGAGCGCGGTTCTGTTGCAACCGGCATGCATCGAGGTCAAGGGTGAATTTCGCACAGCAAAAGAGTGCTAAATAGATAAAGAAAATCACTCAACGAATGACACCACGTAGTAGCTGCCATCTGGTAGTCCGTGGAGGAGTTGACGCGAAGCTATTCAGGTCGTTCGTTCGTGTTGCGTGGAACTCTCAAACTGACATTCTGCGCCGTGAATTACGTCTAACTACAGTACTGCACATACCCTTTTTTTGTATTGACTAGCTAGGTAACCCGTATGAATCCTACAGACATTTGCTGCTGCGGTAGTTGGTGGTTTTCAATGTACACATATAATAAGTCAAAAAGTTGCACGGCTGTGAATCCCTGTGATCTGTGATGCTTTTTTAACAGAAACGTGCAGCAGCAATTTTACCGTATGCATACATACAAACTGCATGCATTCCAGAACAATTGAAGCACACGATCATTGACATGAAAATAGTTCCCGCTTCAACCCTAATGTGGTTGTGTATCAGTATGTATGCGTACGCCTGATGATTGTGTGCAAACTGACAAGGACGGTGAAATTGTGTGTGAGGCCAAGTTAGTTAGGCTGTGTGCGGTACAACTTTTCTTTTTGTCATTCATCAGAAGACAACCGACACCTCCGACAAATAAATGTGGAGATCCGGGGCAATTATTCAAAGGTTGTTGGACGTTCGATATGAGTGTGTCGGAGTCGCTGCTGCTGTCTCCTCTCTGTGGCATGCCAGTACAACTGAGATACCGTTCCTCTCTGTTGGTGTGTCAAGTGTATGCATGCATGTACTACCAATTCCAGTCCTACTGCCGATAGATACGCAATGTGCCAACGGTACTTGATGGTCGCGTACCCAAAATCGCATGGAAGGTGCAACTTGCCGCAGGTACCAGCACCCCACCTGCTGCTTTGGGGTGCGACTATTTAGCACGCCCCGGTAGAGCTCGAGAGCAACGTAAAGGCCCGCGCCTAGAGGTATCCCCTGGACTGTACATGTAGTCTACACGTGTAGACCAACCGATAGTCTATCCACAACCAGGTACTGATTTCTGTACAAGGAATTGCTGCGCGAACATTGTCGCGAAAATAACAATCAATCTTTGCTACAAGCCGATTCACCACTACATGCATGCGTGGATAGCCCCGGTCGTGTGTGAGATTCTCTGACCACGGGCAGGAGGTACTCATAGCTCGGATTATCAGGCTAGCGTAGTAGGGAGTCTCCGATGAAGAGCGTACCCTGGGCTGGCTTTCGTCTACCCTCATTGATCTGTTGCTCCAGCTCCAGGAAACCCCCCTCCTCGCTGAAACCTTTACTTCATTCGGTGGTCTCCACTCGAAACCTGCCTGGAGATTTTTCACGTCGGATGATGATGCATTTCAATCGGCGACTACAGTACACAAGTGACCCACAGTACTGCTCACCGCGTTGTGGTTATATGCTGGGGTGGTCGCTGTCTCGCACTCCGCCTGCTACTCTCGTGTCTGTGTGGCTGAAAGTAGATATGGACGAAGAAGGAAAAGAGATGTGGGAGAAGGGGTCTTCCGGATAGTGTTGTGTCATACCCTTCAGACAGCAGCGATGGATCTTTCGAAAATATATCGAAAAAAGCTGCAGAGACTTAGACTACAGAGACTAGATACAGCTGCCGCCGTTTCGCCCTTGTCTACGAAAGAGGTATTCGTGTGACATGTACAACAGTTGCTGCTGCTCGCTCGCATATTTTCGCTGCCGCACGCACAGTTGAGGGCTGGCCTACTAGATACCGTACACCTTATTCCATGCACCAAACCAGCTCTCATCACTCCCGAGGGAGTCCGTGTACCTTTTTTTTTCTCGCCACGTCCATATATATATATATATGCACCACAGCAGTCTACTCATACAGCAGCAGTCGTCTGTTTGACTGGATGTGGCTTAGACTGCACGGTACCGTCACGTTTGACGCACGAGCCCGGTCACACAACAAGAGGAATGCAGCTTTTCCTCTTGCGGTCCTTGCCTTCAGTTAGTAGGGCGAACGTGTCAGCAACCACACAAAATGTACATCGTTTGGGTGCATACAGTTGGCGCGCGCAGTTAGTTACGAAATATTTTGTTAAGAAATTGAGGCTCACTTTTTCACGAAAAACAAGAAAATAGGGTTAAGAAACATAGCTCAATCTGGGTCACACAACAAGAAATGTCTCAATAAGAAACACAGCGGCGACCGCTGCCCTACTACATAAGAAACGAGGGTTTACGGGGGAGTGTGTCGAATAAGAAACAAACCCCACAGCTCTCTCACTCTTTCCCCCTCTCCCCCTACCCCCCCCTCCCATAGTGCATTATTATTAGTTGTACGACGAGGGGGGAGTGTTTTTTTTGCGGCGCCCCCTCCGGCCCCCTGCGGGCTCTGCCACACGCTCTCTGCTGGCGCTAAAGCTTTGGCACAGCACACCGGACAGGCTGCGAACCACGACATGCTGTCTGCTGTACACGGCTTTGATGGTGCTCTCCAC